TGTAAACAATGGGTGACGCGCGCGCCCGGGCACCTCCCACTGCGCCGGCGGGGGGGGGAAGGGGGGCGGCCCTCCGGACCAACCGCTCGCCGGCCGCCCCCGGGTCCGGCGCTCCGCGAGGGGAGGGCTCGGCCAACAGCGCGGGGGCGGCTCCCGCCGCCGGGTGCTGCCGGCCGGGCGAGGCCGCCCCGCGACCACCGAGCGCGACGTTCCCTGTTCCGTCCTCTTCCCCCCCACGTCTGCGCGCCCTGTGGACCGGTCCGCTTTCAAACCCCGCACTTCGGGTCTCGGGGGCGGGGCCGCGGTGATTGGCAGGAGGGGGCGGGGCGGGCGGCGCGGCGGAGGGTCCCGCACCGCCCCGTCGCCTCGGGACGATCGCTCGCAGGGGGCTCGGGGGCAGCGGGGAGAGCGAGCGGCGCCCGGTGACCGCCCCGTGACCGCCCGGTGACCGCCCGGCCGGTGCCGCCCCCGCCCCGCCGTTAACGGCCGGAGGAGCRCCGGTGCGGGCGCGCGCCGGTTCCCCCGGAGCGCCCGGAGGTTGCGCGCGTGCAGCTCTTCCGCGGCCCCGCGCGCCTGGAATTGGGAACCGGCACTTCCCGGCGGAGCGGGACCTGGGAGCGGCCGTGGCGCTGCGGTCCCCACTGCCCACTGCAGTTTCCCGCAGGGTTCCGTGCTGGGACCGCAGCGCCCGGCTCTGGCCGCCCGGTTCGCGCTCGGCGGCCGCCTCTGCCCTGATTGCCATGCTCGCCGTGTGTCCGCGCTCGGCGGCGCATTACTTTGGGGCTTAATTCCTTGACAGAGAAATGCTTTTGGAATCTTATTTTTCGTCACTAGAATTAGCAAACGTGAACAACTCTGTGCAGGTGTTCTGTCGGGAATTCTCTCAGCCTGCGGTTTACTCCATCAGCTGCACCAAGCCTGTGCCCTGTGTCTTCCTGTCCCAGTCCCATTCCTTCCCTTGTTTCCKCTACTGCATCATTTAAGCATTTGAGCCTTAAATAACGTTTTCTGGGCGTTGGAACTCTGGGGACATAGTCCAGAGCACGCTCATTCACGTGACAAGGCATGCGGTCGGCTCCGCTGGGAACAGCTTGTAAAATGTAAGTTGCTCGTACACATAACTGCTATCACCGCTGTGCCCTTGATTAATCAGTAAACGGTTGGCAAAGGAGAGAGCATGTCCTTTGGTCGGTTTGGCCGTGTTCTCCTGAGCTACTTCCACTTGCTGTACAAAGCAAGAGACCCTGCGCATAAGTGCACGTGTTTGTGGACATGCCTGCTATCTGCACATGGTTCTGGTCACTCCAGCCTAGGTGTCCAAACCCGTTACCACACCTCCAGYCTGGATTTATATGGGCTGGACATAAATCGTGCTACCTAATTGCATATTATTTATTCATGTGGATACTTAAGGTATCGATACTTTGTTATTTTCAGCACCTTCTTGGTAACTGGCAATTAAAACTCAGATCGCATTGTCCTACAGATAATGAAAGAGTGAGATTTTGTTTCTCCCTGCTCCCAGTATTTTAAAGAAAACAATTCTACTTTCTTTCATTATTTCTGCAGTATTTATTCAAAAGAAATAGAAGCAGGCCGACACAGACGCAGTGGATGGATCTACTTCAGCTCCAAGGGAGATCTATATTCAGATCACTTCTGAGTAGGTAATCTGGTATTCTGTACAAGCAAAACTGCAATAAACCAGTACAGCTTATTCCAGCCTTTTCTTCACCCACAAAAGCAAAATAAGCTATACCAGCAAAAGCTCAGTGCTGCTTGTGATTACATCTACACCTGGGGCTTTCATGAGCCCAGCAATGATAATCRCAAATCGTGCTTCATTGCATCCCTAACCAACGGCAGCGCTGGGAAAAAGCTTGAAGGATAGTACAGATCAGTGCCACAGATAGGGAGCTCAGAGCGCAGTTGTTAGCAGAATCCTGATGTCYTCAGATCTTTTTAAATGCAAAACTTTATGATGACTGGGTGACAATGGAGTATCTGCTGAGGATTTTAGGACTAAACACACTGAAAATGTTTATGCTGAATGCTACTGATTTACCAGCTGAGCAAAGTGAGATTTGAGGGCCTTCAGGAGAAGGGTGTTTCAGATTATGTTCTAGAGGAATTAAGGACTTCAGYCATTACTTTGCTACTATCTGCTCTYTTCACTGGATAACAAGAGAAAAGCTAAAATGCTGAAGAAGACAATATATCCTATATCTGAGGTTTCCCCCTCAAAGATTTTTTTATGTGGGAAAACTGTACCAAAGAGGGTTCAGTATGAATTTACATCATAATTGTATCTGTGGAGTGGATCTCAGCATGACAGCACYCAGAGACCTTTCTGGGATTGACCCCCAATCCAGGTCTAAACTGTCTGCAGCCATGATCAGATGTTCCTGGCAGGAATCACTACAGCAGGTTGTGAACTGGTAGCTGTCTGCTAGTGCCTCCCTGTAGAAATGGGAACAACTTCAACAGTGGCTTTTGCAATGAAGTGGCTGTCATATGTGTCTGATGCAGAGTTTGTGAGTGTGACAGGATTGACTGCCAGGTCACCCCCAAGGAAGCTGGTGCCTTGTCAGTTGTAACCATCAGGTCATTTGGTCAAGTCCTGATAAGCTRTAGTTTACTCAAGGTATTCTCATTTAGGCTGGGAGAATCACAGCCTGGTTATCCTACGAGGTCTTCTACCATTGGTGATGAGTTCTGCAGCACTCCTTTTACTTTGGTCRTTTACCACAGTAATTGCAATTWAAAAAATCCCAAAACTCCAAAGCCYAGAACATTAGGGATAGKGGGAGGTTMTTTTAAAAATGTAAAGGTCAATTTATGTATCTTACTCTTTATACTAATCCTGACAACATGGGAAACTAGATGTGAATTGTGAGCTCTAAATCTACTAAAGACAAAGAAAGAAAATGCTTAAATCCTTTGGAATCTGCAATCCAGTGTAATTTCTGTCCTTCAACTACGTGTATGTGTTCAGGATCATTCACATGTTCTAAACTGTTACAGAGACCCTGTAACCCAATCAACGTGAACATTAAAAATAATATTTAATTTGTGCAGGTGTTTACATTTCATACYCTTTTGCAGGATCTGTGATCTCAGACTTTGGTGTGTGTAGAAATGAATCAGGTTGATGAATTTGTGATGGAGACTACGCAGTGTTGCATCACAATGTTGAAGTATTTATAGTGTTGTTTACAAAACAGTAAGACAGCTCTGAACTGGGTGAACCCTGTGACTAGGAGCTCCTTTCCAGTCCTTTCTTTCTCCAGGCGTTTGTCACATCCTTTATTTTCTACATATTTGTTAAATATGCAGAGCTTCCTTTCATAAAAATAGTGTCAATGAAGGGTGTTTGTGCAAAGTAAATTAATTTCCTGTGCCCATTTCAAATGCAGAATGGGRAAAGGCCAGAAAACCATCCAAATAAAACAAGTTTAGATTCCCCAATAATTGTTTTGTAATCTGCATCTATAATAGATTTCCAAGAACAAAAGACATTCCTTTAGAARCAGCTGAGGTTGCTAAGTGACACAAATGTATTTACTGTGTCATAACTTGCAAAAGCCAAGCATTAAAACAAGAGAATTAATAAGCAGCAGTGTCATGAATCTTCCATGGGTAAATATAAACCTGTTGGCCAACAGCTTTACACGGTTTTGGATGCCCAGTAGAAACAGGGCATGCCTTAATGGAAACAGGAAACATTAGTTGTTTAAGAAAATACAGACTTTCACTCTTAAGGAATTGAAATGTGCATTGGATGTTTGGGATTTGTTTCTTTCATGTATTGTTTCTGCTTAACCCCATTCAGTTACCTAAGAATTTGCRTGTAGGGATACTGTTTCCTTACAAGCCTGGGAACTGCCCTTTTAGCTGKAAGGCTGAGTTACTTCTTTTCGATGAAGTTGTCACTGTTTCTCATATCTTTTAGACACAAAAAAGCTTCTCCAGTCTTCCCGGGGATGCAAAAGGCTGGCACTTTCTTCTGTCTTCCCACCTTCTTCTGGTGTCTGACTCACCAAACTGCTGTATTCCAGCTTGCCCGTGCAGTCAAAACACATGGCCCCTTTGGAGAGACCACAGTAAAATTCCTTTGGCCTGACAACCTGATAGGCTGATCCTTCTCTTTCCCTGAGCTGCAGAGCCTCTTCTTCCTCCTCTGACACGCACAAGATGCAGTCGATGCCCTGTGCCTGCTGCAGATGTGCAGAGTGGGCAGTGTGCAGGAATTGCTTCCTAGGAGCACACTGATCTACCTGTTCATGCAGGAATTGTTTCCTAGGAGCACACTGAGCTACCTGTTCATGCAGGAATTGCTTCCTAGGAGCACACTGAGCTACC